AGTGTATCGATTATGTACAAGAAAAAGTCAAGAAAATCATACATAAGCAAACTGTTTTTTTCATTTGAAAGATTGACGGCATTACAGCAGCAAAATAGAACTAATGAAAAACAATCACAAAATGTGCAGAATAATCCAATTTCTTTTCCTTTTACAGGCAATTAAACATCAAAATATTTGAATAGTTCTTGCTGTTTTTTCTGTCTTTGTAACTTTAAATTTCAATAAATTTATTTTATCAACCGTTAAAACAATGAACTGTAGTTCAATGAAGATTCTAGAAACCGTATACCGAGTACGATTAAACTTTCTATGCATACAGAAATTTAGAAGCCGGATAACCAAGAATCAACAGTAACTTTGTTGATCCTGAATATCGCGAAGCATCAACAGTGAAACCATCATCATTGAACGCTGAAACACTGAAAACTAACGGGCAAAAAACAACGGAAGAATACTGCTGAAACCAAACTTATAGCAAACCGAAAAGAGTACGGAACTCTGTCACTGTAATACTGGTGGCCAATTTTGCCGAAGATATTCTCTGATCTAACCGCTGTTTCTGAGGTGCAGTTCACAGCATCTGATACCTATCAGAAGTGCAGGCATAGAAGGTCAAGCCAATCAAATCAATTGAACGCAGTTTAGATGTTGACACATTTTTCCTTATCCTTCTTTAAAAGCTATCACAGTCTGTTTTCACCTCATATCTATGTTTTTTTTTCTTCTTTTAATGTATTTATTTGTGTTCTAATTGACTGTTATCATTAGCAGTAGCAAAATGATTACTTACTGATAAACAATTTCCTGTGATCTACTATTTCTTTTGTAGACATATGTAGTATGTTTCCCCTCTGAAAAGATTAATTTAAGTAGATCCGCAAAAAAATTTCACTTCAAAAATATTTGCGTAAGATTTTATCTCAAATTTGTAGGAAGAAAAAATGTACTAATTTCTTCGTAATAATTTTCCAGGCTAAATTTTTCTCATAATAAGGACGGAACAGAACATAACAAAATGAGAGGAAAAAAACAGGAACAGTTTTGTTGGTCTAATCATATGTCTAAGTAACATTTACACCTTTAATTCCAAACAATTTTCTTCGTTTTCTTTTTTTTTTTTTTTTTTTTTTTTTTTTTTT